GCGGCGGTGCGCCGCGCCGCGTGCCGCGCGCACCAGCCGCCGGCCTGCGGCGGCTGCCGGTGGCCGCCGCAGCAGCCGCTGGCCGCGCTGGCCGCTTGGGCGAGCCCGGTACACAGCAGTATGATGATATGCAAGCAACTGGCAGCAAGAGCAGGGTGGTGGTCGATCCACCCGGTGGAGTCCATGGTGTGACGTGGCAGGTTTGCAAGTTTATTAATCCCACACCCAGTCTAGTGGGGGTGTATAAGATGGTTCAGGCCCTCCTCCAAGCACGACTGTACACATACAGGATTATTTGTATAGTTCGTACACCTGTTTGTCTTTCATAGACAAACGAGCATCACACTCGTGAAGATTACACCCCCCAGCAATCGCACGACTGCGGGATGAGGCATGCGCACGCTGGACACATGAACGGGCCTTCACACTTTTGCTGGTTGTATGTATGTCGCGCTTCTCCTCACCCCACTCTCTCGACCCTCCTCATCCTCTCTTTTGTTCTTTCCACCTAAGCTCCCTCATTCCTCCCTCGCTTCTCAACCTCCTGCTTTCCGCCCCCCCCCCCCCTATCGTGCCCCTTCCCCCTTAAAGGTGCCAAAGTCTGGCCGCGGCCAGAAGGGGTCGCGCCCCGTCAACCGCGACCGCTTTGTGTCCAAGATGTTCCTGCGGGGGGACAGCGTCATCCTCGTGCTGCGCAACCCAAAGTAGACGCGCCGCCGCGCCGCCGCCGCCGGGACGGCCGCGACGACCGCAGGTCCGGGGCTTCGGCGGGGCTGCCAGGCTGGCGGGAAGACCTTGAGTGAGATTGCAGCTGCCTAGGGGCCCCGCGCGGTGCATGCACCGGAGCCCTTCCCCAATGTAAGCGTCGGGCTGAGCAATCGGCATCGCAGGTCGGGGCAGGCGGTGTGGTCAGCGCTGCGCAATCGTTACTAGGGATGCAGCGTGAAGGGCAATACAAAGGGTGAGGAGCCGGCTAGCCATGCTATGTGACTCGGACGCAGCGGCCGGACGCGCAACATGGGCGCAGCCGCAGGTCTGAGAGCAGAGCAGAGTAAAAAGAGCGTGCGCCACGCTCAAACACAGGCACGGCCCCGGCGCGGCACGGCGCGGCGCTCGCGTCCCGATTCAATTGCAGTTGCCTGCGCTCCTAAAGCCTGGGGGCGCCGCCAGCCCCCTCCACCCGGCCGCGCCAGCGGGCCCCTTTCGCAGGGGCCCCCACACCTGCCAGCAAAGCAGCAGCAGCCCGCCTCTGGTTTGAAAAGTTAAGCAGCCTGCGGCTGGCCAAAACCTCAGCCGGCCACACACGGCAAAGCCTCGCCGCGCCACACACGGCATGGGGACATTCAAGGTCGGCAGGGGTGTGTGCATGCAAGCCGCCGCCCGCGCTGATGCCAACGGGCCGCAGCGCACCCTGCCCTGCCGCGCGCCCCGGCCGCGCCGGCGCGTCCGTGCCGGGGGTGGTGTCACGCGTCATCATCGCGCGTGGTGATGTCACAGCCTGAATGCGGCCAGCTCCTGCTCGACGTCCTCCTGGTCAAGCTTGAGGTAGGCGTTCTCGGCAGCTGGCCGAAAGCTGGCGCCCACCCAGGTGTAGAACGCCAGGTCAGCCACCAGGCCGGCCGCCTCCGCCACCCACTCGTACCTGCCGCGGGGAGGTTTGGTTTTGGGCAGACGGGGGGTGGGGGGAGATATCCGGAGGGCTTCATTTGGTGGAGGTTGGGTGGGGTTGCAGGCGCACGGGGGTGACAAAGGGGGGAG